TGGGGCAGAATCCCCACCATCCTCTTGAAGTGGTTTGTCAAATACTGTAGCTCTCACCATTTGGATGTTTCTCCAGTGTTTTATCAAAATCTCCTTCCTTGAGGTTTCTTTCTCTTGATGGAAGTTGCAGTAGATTAAAATCTGATATCTTGCCATTTCCATCCATTGATTCTAGGTCTGTCCCCTGGACCAGTATCAAAATATGTACACAGTGTCTGTTCCATCTTTTGTATAAACAGTCTTTGGGGTTTTGAAGATCACTATCACGTTTCCTCTTCAACGTAACCAGCATTGCTTTTAACCTTTCTTATAACTTGGTTTCTACGATGTTTCATAGGGCTTTACAGGTTTTGAAGACACATGGAAGGAAATGTCAGAATATTCCACTGTGAATAATAAAATAACAATAAATGCTCACATACCATATCTAGAGTCAGTATTTACCGGTAAATGACATTTTCCACATCATCGGCTTTCAATATCAAAAATAAGCCTTGGGACTTATTTTGTTGTTGTTACATTTGCCAACAGACCTGCTAAAAATCGTAACAGTGAATATTGACATTCACCAAATTTCCATCATTTACTGCAAAGGACATACTCTCAACAGGTTTAATTCTCATTTGGGCCATACATTTTATTTATTTAAAGATTGTTCTGGGTGTCCTGATTACATCTGAAAGCATGAAACTGAGCAAACTCAGGGAGGCAGTGAAGGACCGGAAGGCCTGGCGCAATATGGTTCATGGGGTCACGAAGAGTCGGACACGACTTAACGACTGAACAACAACAAATGTATAAGTAGGACAACACTCTGAGGAATGTGGACCTGTCCCCGCTGACTTAAAAAAACAAATTCTGAACAAGATTTACATTTTTTATTCCTGTTGAAATTTCCAGTGGCAAATAATTTTCACAGCATTTTAATCTATCGATTGCTCCTACACCTGTCAGACTTGACAACAGCTACATAACGACCTGACCTGACTACTGCAGTGTGCTGTATGTGGGGCTACCCTTGACTGACTGGAAGCTTCAATTTTGGATAAACGTGCCAGGCAGGCCGCTACCTAGTATAACATCACTGATTATGGAGCATGTTAGGACCTTTTCAAAAGATGTGCAGTTTTTAAACTGTTTTTCAATCCCTGTTTAAGGTTATTGGTGTTAACCTTTAACATTCTTCACACATCAGACTGTAAAGACTTACTGGCAAATTTAGGTCTTAATTGCCAGAAATTTTATTTTTTTAAAATTTTAATTAACTTTCTAAAACTCAAAAGGTCTAGGACCAACCTGATTTTTAGGGGAAAGTTACTCTAGAAGAAGGGGTCAGCAACATAGAAGGACCAACCCTGTGGACTATACAGATGGCACTTCCTAGAGGTAGAGGCCCAGAGGAACATCTCCTCCCTCTCTTAATGGACAGGCAGAAGCCACTTGGGTAGGCAGTGGTGTCCAGCAGGGTTGGTCTTCAGTTCAAATGTGGGACTGGCTGAGATCCTCTTCTTTTCATTTCAGAAACATGTCAGAGGAAACTCTTTGCCAGGGCTTTTCAGTTTGAATCAACCGATGGTCAATTTTATTTTTTTAAATAAATCTTGTTATATTTTGTTTTGCATTTTTGCCTGATAGCCACCTTTTCAGATGGAAAGGGTGTTCGTAATAATAAAAAGTTGATGATGATGATGATGATGATGATGATGCTTACTGCATTGCTTAGTCAACCTTACCTCTTCTAAATCTTCCCTCATTTTCCCTGCAACCATCATTAAAGGTTTTCTCTAACTAAGGATTCAAATACCACTTTTTGTTTTTGCCAACAATAAACGGGAACAAAAGTTGAACCTTTGGTCTGGGTGTTTTGGAAGGAGGACATGATGAACATGTGTAGAAGGGATTATAGGTTTAAAACAGGGATTAGATGTCATTACGAGAGGTCATCCAAAAGTTACACTCTCGATCAGAGAACAGGATTCAGTTTGGAGTCCCTTGGTCCCCCAAAAGTCACTGAGTGGCCTCAGGCCCTCACATATTTTTTTATTTCTCTGAACAAAACTATGGTTTTGACAAGGACATGTCGTCTTCCTATCTAGGGGTTTCTCCAGCCAACTCTAGTTTGCTGTTCATCTCAGATCAGCAAACCAAAGTTGTATTGTGCTTTGCTATTCCTGACTGAAGGATATGAGTAAGACATAGTTTTCCAGTGTGAGGGCAATATCAAACCACAGATCTGTTACCATGAGATTTCAAGAAAAGGAAGGAGTGCAAAGATGCGACACTTGGGCTGCCACAGGTATGATTCTCAGCCACAGGTGTGATTCTCAGCCCTACCTGACAGGTACAAGGAGATACACTGGGGGTGGGAATACACGGACATCCTTATGTTACGCGCTGTACTTTGGCCAAAGGAAAATACAATGTGGATTTCAAATGGAATGTTCTATGGGTTACAGGGAAGGGAAAATCAGTATTTAAGACCAGGAATCTTAGATTTAATCTAAAGGAAGCCTGCAAAAAGAAGTTGATTTTGGAAAGAAACCAAATTAGATTTGATCTGACTCCTGCAATCTTTTCTTAGGTTTGTATGTAATTGGTGGGGGTGGGGGTGGGCATTGCTGCCTCTACTCTAAAATAACACATTAAACATTCAGAACCAATTTTGGCCCAAGATTACTTTGTGTGAATGGCAGCCTGGTTAGCACAAAGGAAATTTCTAAACACAAAAAAGGGAGCTGATGGGAGTCAATTGTCTATTTTTTGCTGCAATAGTTGATTAGGTGATCTGCTATAAACAACACCCCTTGCCCCTTAATTTTGGACAATTACTCTCTGGCTGGGGACGCACAACCAGAATAAAATGAACTTGAGTTGTTACTGGTATACATTCATATATGAATTCGGCATGCTGTGTGAATCAAAGTCAGCACATTAAGGCAGAATGTGCTTTATTTGTTTGGGTGCGGACTTCCATGAACATAGCAGGAATGTTTGTTGGTCAGGGTTTAATGTGTTGTATGAACCCAGCTATTTTCTGACTCCCCCCGTCTCTGAGCCTAGCCTACCACACAAGGACTTTGTGCCAAAAGAATCACAGACTCTTAAGAGTCACAAAGGGCCATTTAGACATTGAATCCAACCTGCTGTTTAGTCCAGGAATCCGAATTCTATGACCCATGGCTGTCTAGACTCTGTTTAAGTGGTGGAGCAGGTTCTACTGTCAAATTTATAATTCTATTAGGATCCTCCCCACCTACAAAGTCTGTGAGTACGTTCACACAATACAGGTAGCCCTCACTTAACGATGGCAGTTGGGACTGGCAACTCCATCGCTAAGTGACGGAGTCGTAAAGTACGTCACATGATTGCCCTGACAAGGCAGTTGCGGCAGTTCCAGTTGCTGGCATTAGGCGAATCCTGCACAGTTGTGGCCGGCTTCCCCGTTGACTTTGCTTGGGGGAAGCCAGCTGTGAGGTCACAAATGGTGATCACCTGACTGCAGGATGCTGCGACCATTGTAATTGTGAGCCAGTTGCCAAGTGCCCAAATTGTGATCTCGTGATTGTGGGGACACTGTGACAGCTGCAACTACAAGGTACGATCATAACTTCAAACGGTTGCTGAACAAGTGGTCGCTGAACAGGAACTATCTGTACACAAGAGGTCTTGATGGGAACTAGTTTGATGTAGTGGTTAAGGCACTGAACTAGAAACTTGCAGACATGAGTTCTAGTCCTCCCTTAGCATGAAAAGTGGCTGGATGACCTTGGGCCTGTCTCAGCCCAATCCACCTTGCAGGTTTGTTATTGTGGAAAAGGCAGGAGTATTATGTATGCTGCCTTGAAATGTACAAAATAAAGGTAGGATATAACTCTAATAACAGAGAATTAAGTACTTATGCCCTTAAAGCTCCTTGTTTTGCACTCAATGGGACCTTGCCATATGACTGCGGGAAATCAGTACCGAAGTCCTGCTATTTTGAACAGCCAAATTAAGAAAACTACTCTTAAAAAAAAGAAAAAAGAAAAAAAAAGACGCGAGGTCGTTAAAGCAAAGCAAAACTTTAAAAGGGGACAGAGAAAACTCCTGCCCCCTTCTCCCCGTGCCTGGCATGGCTCTACCCCCTTTGCATTATCTCCCCACCAGGATTCTCCTTCCCAAATCATATGCCAAATTATCCCCGCGTACTTTTGTCAAATGGTTAAACCAGCCATTGTTGCTTTATACACATACAGCGCACACGCGCGCGCACCCCAGCCATGGCTTGTTCTGTACATCTAACAATACTAATGTGGTTCCTTTCACCCTCCGAGGCTCAGCCCGACGGGCCGAGCCAGTCCCTGCGCCTTCGTCAGCCAGCCCCAGTTGAAGGAGCCCACCGCACCCCGGCTCGCTGCGCCGCGCCAGCCCAGCCAGCGGAACTACAGGCAGGAACTGCACGTGAGAAGCCCAACGCAGCTCTCTGAGCACGGCTGAGCAGGAGGAGGAGGGTCTTCCCTCCGGCGGCCGGCGAGCCAAGGGGGG